ACTTTTTGGAAAAGACTTTTCACCAGCGGAAAAAAAGAAAGTATGACTGTGCAGAATTTTTATCTATATCATTTATAAGAAATGTCATTCGACTAAAATTTTAAGATTCCATTTTCTAAAAACACATTTTTTTCTTTTGTATTCTTTTAGCACCTACCGCCTCAATTATTTAATTCAAATTCAAGTAATATTTACAGCAAATTAATCATCACGAATTAATTATCATCATTTGTAACAATATTAATTAATTTAACATTTAATGTATGTTTATCGACACATAGCTTGGAAGTAACTGGCACAATTCAAAAGAGATTTATTTCAACTTTTTCGTGAGCATAGTCATGTTGCTGATTGTAATAACTCTAAAGACGGAAATCGTTAATATTTGAATTTAATTGGTTTTCTCTTTATCGAACGTCTTCACAAACATACCAATCTATTAAATTTTTGTTTTGAGATGTGCCAATCTTCTTCAAACTTAGCGATATAACTTTTTTGGATTTACCGTATCTTTTACTGCTTACAGCCAAAATTAGTGTATTTTAACTTTATAGTCATTTGAAACAAGTAAATACTATTTTACGAATTCATGTGCTATTCCATCAGGATGGTCGGTTCGATAAATATTGTAGCCGGGAACGTTGATTTGTTGTTTGTTGGTTAGTTCGGTTTCAGTAATTAGTGCTATGTCGATGTTTTTATCATGTAATAAGATTGTCAGTTCGTTGATGGGATTTCGAATACCATTCGCATTCCAAAGGAGGATCGAGAGGGATTTGGTTGAGGACATTTATGGATTTTTTGACGGTGAAATGAGGTTGGATATAACATAAGCAAGTAATGAAATAAGAGGGGTAATGGGAGATCTAAATTCAGAGAGGAAAGATGTCAATAGGCTTGTGAGATGAGGAATAAGAAGGAGGAGGAATGAATGTCTGGTTATTGAACCTAGGTTCAGGGATGGAGGTTGATATGTGAATTCTCTAGGTTGAGGTTCTTATAGGAGGGTCTGAGATTGAGTGTTTACAGTGTCTCCTTTGAACATCTGAGTCAGGAAAAATCATTCTTGCAGTTACATTCTTGTAATCACACTCTTGCCGAAGGCCTAGACTAATGATCTTGTCATCATACTCTCGTAGACTTGGAATTGACTTTTGTAACCAAAACACATAGTTACAGTTCAAATTAGTATATACTATAAAATATGTAACAGACATTATTAATAAAAGTATTTCTTCCAAAGTAGAAGTTTTATTAAGTTATCGCTTATTACACTTCGATTCATTAAGTTATCGAAAGATTGTGGTTAGGCATCACGAATAAGATACATTTTGCTTTTCATTATCTTGACAACTAATTTCTAATTGTGCTTTCACAAAAATATTTCATTATGACTGAGAGAAGAATCACAATATAAATATTTTTCCATTTTTTTTTTCAAACTTTTTAATTAGTGTGGATGTTATTATAGTATTATTTTAATTACGTATTCGGAGTCACCTGTGGTGGGTCTTAAGATCTTACTATAAAAACTTCTGTACTTTTAAAACACTTTTTATCTATGTTCTCAATATATTTAATAAAATAAAATTTATTACCAAATATATAATTGCTTCATAAACTTTATTATTTTGCTCTGCTTATTTGCCCTCATGTCATCCTATTGAGCGCTAGGCCCAGATAATATATTCTGTTTGTCTGTGCATTGGTGCGTTGTCAAGGTTGTGAGACAGGCTATCCCATGTTGGAGTGTGAATGTCACCAAATGGCCTTTGTCCTGGATACTTGATGCAACAAAAATGAATAAATTGTTTTCCGGTGTTATTTTATGCATATTAATATATTATATTAATTTTGTAATGCAAGTCTCTTATTCCATTAAGTATTCTTTAAACAACAGAGAAATGAGTTGATCCTTAGCATAAGTTGAAACATAGTAAACTATTATATAATATTATAAATGTTTTATCATTTATCAATCTTATTACTAATATTAATAACTTTGTAAAGATCTAATTCTAATAATTTACAAATCCTCTTGTAAGCCACTTCTGACATTCTTAAAAAGTTACATCACAAGTCCCAACTAGCCGGTATTATTTGAGAGCATACGCATCTTCCGAAAAATCAATTAACAGACTTTCAAAATGCTTAGCTACAACAAAAATTGTAGTGATTGGTCTACATCAGCTCCATGTTATAAATGACTTCGTGTAAGACCGTATTCATAATAGTAATTATTCAAATTAATAACAATAGTAATGATTAAGTGTCCAGGATCAACACCCATGACCCGTTAATGTAATTAAAATAGAATTTCAATAGTGTACAACAGTATTCGAGCAACGTGATTTGGGACTCCAAGGCTGAATCAAGTTTTTAAGCTTGTATGAATAACTTAGTTCTTCAATCAGTTTCTGCAGATTGTTTCATGTATGTTCTACAAATGGCGCCAAAGAAATTTGAATAATTAAGAGTATGAGAAATATAGGATTTCAGAGTATATTTTCTCACTGCAGTTTTTAAAAAATCGAAAAAAAATAATATAGTGCATAATATTTTATGCACTATATTCTATTGAACGATCTAAACAAAGATAAAATAAACTGCATATAAAATAAAACAGACCATAATACAGAAGAATTATATTGGGTATAAAATGTCGTTATTCGAAAGTTTTCTATTTTCGTCAGATTAAATCAATAGACAGTTTATGAGTTGACAGCAGAATAGAAATATATCTATGGGTCATTTGGTTTACAGTTTATTGGTCAAAACACATTATTCCCTATCAGTAATGAATATTTGTTTTCAATTTGTAGAGGGTTATTGATAAACTAACGTGTAAGGTTTTAATCGAAACTATATATATATATATATATATATATATATATATATCCTGCAAAGTACTGTACTTACTTATACAGTTACGAATATTAAGGCAGTCAGTGCGGTCATGTGAATTGCTGACCTCAGGGATGAAATATTACGTCCCCTTCCTAAAACTCTTCCGAACCGACCAGTAAGTAGCCTATTCTCTCGTGTTTCGGAGATATATTCAGGACTTGAAACATTCATTATTCATAAAAAAAATTCATTTTAATAGTTCCGAAATACCTCTTTTTAAAAAAATTAAAATTCCCAGATATTAACTTTTAAATTAATTGAATAATTTTAATAGAAGTTATAAATAATTTTTTTTCTAAAAAAAAAAATGCATAGAAAAGTATTTATGAAAAAGTTCAACGATCAAAAATTCTATTAATATAATTATAATCTACACGATTTATTGAACTTTTTATGAATTGTTTTGAGTAAATGGTTGCGAAGTATTTTTAGAGCAGAAACTGCCTTCCCTTCTCTCCTCCTCCGTGCCGCCGCCAAACTTATGATAGGAAGAAAAATATTTAAAATGGAAGACCCTCGTCCATCAGCAATCGTCGTGGTCTTTATCTTCCTTACTATTCCTTTCGAGTAAATCTGTCTTCGGAAGATAAACGGACTTCACCACTAGGCACCTCCGATGTATGAATGACGAGATTTATGTTGAAGAAAACATGTTAACTGAAAACCAACATCTATATTCCCTGGTTAAGTGTAGTTTTCTCGAGGACGTGTTCGTCGGTGGCGAGAAGATGGCCAGTCAGCAGTCATCATTAATAAAACCGTTACGGCAATCATATACCTCTTTTTTTCTAATTTATTAAACATGACAAATGCTCTGAAACTAAATGTCAACTATGCTCCACTTCGAGGAGTTCCAGGGAATGGAGGCCAGACGAATGGAGATGTTGAATCTCTCTGTCACAAATGTTTCCAAAACTCAGAAACTCCAGCTCATGTAATGGGCAAATGATCAAATAGCATGCTTCTTGTCAATAATAAAAAGTATGGAATATCCAAATTCCTAGAGATGAAAAATTATAGATGCTTCCTTGAAGTTAATTGCCTGGATGCCGAAGGCTCAGTAAGATTTGCAGACATATTAGTATTTTGCGCAAAAGGAAAGGAGACTCTTATAGTTGATCCTACAATTAAATATGAAATGAATAATGAGCATCAAGATCTCACAATTCAAATAGAGATGGGGGAATATACAAGTATAAAAAATGTATTCCGTACCTAAATGATAAATATAGAGAAGAATGAGTGGATAAAAATTTTTCGGTATGAGGACTTTGGTTTTGAAGTAGATGGGAAATTCCTTTTTCAACTGTTATTTTTTTGGAAAAGATAGATGTTGAAAGGAATGAGATACAGAGCATGGTGGAGTTCATTATCCTAGACTCACTGGGAATCCTGCACCAGCACCTCTTTTAATTCCGATCATTGCTTTATGGATGAGGAATGAAAGAAAACAAAAAAACAGCATTTTTACATGTCAAAGCGTTTGCTATTTATGACATTTCCATGAAACATTAACCTTTCTGAATTCTTTTGTAAGATGTTGCCAATCAGTTGCAGGATTACAATTTTATTGTTGTTCTCTCTCTCATCTATTGCTTAGTGATTTAATTTTCTAAAATGTTACGTAATGAGTTTTTGAAATATATTGAGGACATTTACAAAGTAATTCAGACAGTGAATCATAAATTCCAATTTTTACTAATAAGATAAAATACAAAACAACTTAAAAATTTTATCTTACAGGTTGCAAACAAAATATTTCATATTAAGACAGAGGATGCAGATACTTAATCTTGTGTAACACCTTAAAGTTAATGTCATTACAGATGTTAAAGCCTATATTATGATAATGGTCCATAAACACATCACCAATTTCAATCATAATACCATTAAAAGTTATACAACTATACCTACTTATGTTCTTTCTTGTCCAATAGCTAAAAATGTATCAAACAAATTCAATTAACAATAGTATTATGCAAGCTTTTTTATAAGTAATTAAATGATTTGAGATACCCAGATATTTAAACATTTTTCAATAAATGATCAATTAATAAGTCAACAAAAGCTAAAAGTATGCCATATAATGTTATAGCCATGGGCAGCGGAGCCTATAACAGGAGTGAAGCAACATTAGGAGATGATGGAGTGTCCCCAGTCACTCTCTCCTCAGACTGGAGCAGAGTTGTAAGACTTTTGTTGATAGCAAGCCTTGCAGTTATTGGCAGCCTAGGAAATGTATATATGATCAGTGCTGTTATGATAGAGGACCATCTAAAAAAAAGAGGCAAGTATTCTTATTTTAAAATACATTTATTCGATAATGGGTACTTGTACTCTAGCTTTGTAATATATCTCATAATTTTAGACAAATATCATATTACTTAGAAAAAAATTCTAAACCACGATCAGAAGTTTGATTATCTTTACATTTTCTAATAATTAAATCTTATGTGATAAAAATTAAAACAAATGTGCTCCAACAGCTTTTAATTTAATTTTCATAATTCTAATCAAGAGATTCATTATTATTACTTCTTTAAAAAATTTCCACTATTTAGTGGAAATAATCAATTATGATCTTGCGTTAGGAACAGAGCATAAAATATATACATTTAATCAAAGCTGTTATTTTATTTATAAAATCAAATATAGACTGTTGTACAGACCTCTTTTTAGCAAATTATTAACATTCACCTGAAACTTCATGAATAGCTTCATCTCATCGTAACCTACAACTATTTTATTTACGATATATCTCATAATTGGGGCATTTTAATCTTGAGATCAGCAAACTTATTTAATTAGGTACTAAAAACTCGTAAATACACATTTGCTTTCCACTTGAATTGTTAGATAACTTGAGCACAAAGTCGGTAAAAAAGGTGGCCTTCACAACTATTGGCGTAATCTACACTCCCAAATTGTCAAAATAACGAGTTTATATAAGGCAAACGTCCCAATATTTTAGTGAGCCACCTTTTTTATCGATTTTGTGATCATATTATCTTACCATTCAAGTGAAAATCAAATGGAAGTATTCATGAGTTTTTAATACTTAATTAGATAGACAAAGTTTGCTGATCTCCAGATTGAAAAAGCTCCAATTCCAAGAGTTTTCATTAATAAAATAGTTGTAGGTTACCATGAGATGAAGCTATTGCGAAATTTCAGTCAGATGTGAATATTTGAATATGCTGTTAAATTTAAGTTTTTGTAAACAGTTAAAATATTTTTTTATCCATACACATTAATTCATTAATCATTTTTCCAGGTAATACATATGTGGTGAATGTTGCCCTAGCAGACTTACTAATAACTGGTATCCTTATGCCAGCTTCTGCAGTGGTCATCCTCGCAGGACTAGAAGCACCTGTCCAAGTATGCTCAGTCCAGTGGTTTCTAGCTATTTTGTCTTGGTTGGTCACGGTCCTCAGTTTGGCTGCTATAGCTGCAGAAAATTATGCACGTCTATGTCTGCCTCCAGAGAAGTATGCTAAATTAACAACAACAAGGATTACAATATCGGTTCTTTTAATATGGTTTGTCAGTGCTGTTGCTGTTACAATCCAGCATATATATGATTTAGGACCTGATTATTGTACTAGACGAAGTGAGGGTATACTACCATACCAAGCTGCAGTTGCTGCATTCTTTGTAGCTATGCCCGCTCTTCTCACAACATTATGTTATGCAAAAACTATTATACAAGTAAGACTTGCACGAGCTCATCCTAGTTTCAAACCTCCAATAGCTTTCTCTTGGGACTATTCACTTATGAAGACAAACATGTATAGTTTTTTTCTTTTTTTCCTTTTCTGGATGCCATTTGGAATTTTGTTGTTTATTGGTTCAATTAAAAATATATCCGCCCGACTTTTCTACAACCTTGCTTGGTTTGCCTTAAGCAAGTCTTGTGTCAATAATTTCCTTTATTGCATTGCTGATCGCCATTTTCGTAATGCCTATATCAATCTCTTCCATTACTGCTGTTGTAAAACTACTGTTACATTCTCAAGACGGACACGTGGTGAAGGAGCTCGTCCCTCAGGAGATGTTCGTGTCCATATCATACCTGGTTATAATATGTATTCCTATACTAGTCCTCAGAGAAGCCGTGAGTCTGGACAAACATCCAAAAGGTCAATAGCCACTTTTAGACCTCAGAGTAGGGATGTGTATGAGCTTTAATTGCTCGTTATAAATTGTTATACATATTAATATTTAATCTTAAATGTGTAATAATAAATGGATGTTTAATTGTGATTATATACATATGTGTATTAGGTACTGTGCATTTGTATATTTTGTGAGTGTATACAAATATATACATATATAAATAAAAAGTTTACTATGAACTGACAATACTAGGAGTTTTTAAGGAAAATATTTGGTGTTTAGATATTGTTAATAATATATCAATCTAAAATACTGTCTATTGTCTATACAGAACTAAGAAATTATATTTATTACTACCAAAGTAATCCGAAATAATTACTATTATCTTATTACTAACCATAATGAATTCATGATTAAACTCTTAAAACAAAACTATGAGGAACTAACTCATTTTTACTTAACCAATCATCATTAAAGTAATCTGAAAAGTATAATCAATTAAATAAGCCTTATAAAACTTATCTAAGATCTTAAATTATGACCTGAAGTATTTCTATTTATAATTTTTATAAATCATACAAATGTTTCGAAAACCATCATATACAAAATGAAAAATAATTTTAACCTTATATTATTTTTTTACAAGTTTTGATTTAATAAATGCCAGGATGAACAGAAACATCATGCCTCTAAACTTTCCTTATTCATTATGGTTATCAATTTGATTTTGGTTTCAGCATTTTCATTTTAAGCTCATTTTATTTATTTCTTAAAGCTCCTAGTACAACATTACTACAACATTCTATTCATATTAAAATATCTATCTGGAATACAATTTTTAACACATCCAACTCACTGTAAGAAGTAAAGGAACAGCAATTATAAAATACAAGACTATACTTTGGTAAGTATAAATTATTGGACACGAATGCTTTAGCTTATGTCCTTATGTAGGTGCATACATGCACATGGATGTGGGTGTGTGTGTTTGTGTGTGTGTGTGTGTGTGTGTGTGTGTGTGTGTGTGTGTGTGTGCGCGCGTGCGCGCGTGTGTGTGTATGCGTGTGTGTATGTGTGGGTGTGTGTGTTTATGTTTATTTGTTAAGCATTTAAACTTTACGTAGGTCTTCCTGACCAGATCATGAAAATAAAGGTCGATTATTGGAAGTTTCAAAAATAGAAAAAATTATTACAAAATTCTGTTTTGTTAATTTCAATCATAGTTGCAGTTATAAAAAATTTAAAACTCCGATTTAACCTTACAAATAAGGTTGTGAACTGAACATTATAAATTCAATTTCAGGGATCAAATGTGAAATATTTTACAGTTTAATTATTTTATATATTTTCTGTTATTTTATTTCTAATAATTACTGTTGAAAAATCGTGACTTACAAAAAAAAAAAATAAAATACTATCTAAGTTAATATATCTGAACTATTAAAGATAACATGTACTTTATTTGCATGGTTACATTCAGACAGATTAGACAATTTTCCATCATTTGAAATCCTGATTAGCATCCAAAATTTTTCAATTATATATCCATATATATTAATATAGAATAATTCCAGGGAACAGTGGACCACATTTTTCCTCTTAATTTAAGCATATATTGAAAAGCTAAAGCCTTCAATTGTTAGAAAAATTACTGAATTATTAGAAAACTTTATTGAACCATCTAAATCCTTACCAAACAGAAAAAACCAACTCATTTATTCTTTATGATTCACAAGTCATAGGAACAACATCCACAGAATAAATATTCAATATGAATCAATGTAAAACAAAGAAAATATAATTTTACAAAATTAAAACTAATAAATAAGTTAAAAAGATGTATAAAGTAGCTGACATTAGAGGCTCAAAAATAAACTTATAGGTAAGCAGTAAATTGATTATTTTATTTTTAATTTTTTCAAATCCATGTGGAAATTGTCTGGTTAATCTAAAATAGAAAACTCTTATTATTCTTTAAAATTGTTCAAAATGAAGCTTTTCGTTGAAGATTAACTTTATTAAATGAAATAAATATAGTTTACATGCTTCTCCAGTTTAAGAAAAACATAATAGATAGTTTAAGGTACAGCTCTTTAATTACTTAACTGAATATTAATAAATTTACCATAAATGTAGTTTTCATGCTAAATACATGTTGTTTAAAATTATTATATATAACTAACTATCTTCACATCCTCATAGAAAATTAATCAAAAATCTTAAAAGAAAGACATTTTTTTCTATATGTTTATACGTTGAACTTCTATTTTGTATTGTATGATTTAATTTTCCAAAAATGAATCTAAATAATTGGTATTTAATATGGAATTCAATAATATTATTATAATGAACCTAAGACTGGATATTTTTCATTTAATGTCTAGAAATATAAAATAAAATATGTTATATTTTTCTGGTGAGACTCATTTATGCTAAATTTTGTTGGATTGTAACATAAATTCATACTTTATCTATTAATTTATTGATTATGATTTAGAAACTACTTTTTATGTAGGATTCATCAAGATATTTTTATAATTCAGTCCGATCCGCATATTTAATCATTATTTAATAATAAAATAAAAAGTAGTAAAAGAAGTCCTATTTCAACATTTTACGTTGTTTTTTTTTACCTTTAAATCAAAAAAAAAAGTTTTTATAAATGGCTAGACATTAAGGAGAGTAATATAATATTCTCAAGTATTTGATGTGTTTGTAATTGTATGTGTTCAAAAGGATAAATATCCTTTTGAAAATAGAATAAACTTATTTTACAGCTCAATAGTTTGATTCATTTAAGGAAGTGAAATTGTATTATACATAAATTATTAATAAATTTTTGGTATCATAGTTTGTAAAATAATTATTTTTTGTGATATGGAGATCATAAGAAAGAATGAAAAATACAATTAAAAATGGACTCACCTTGGGCATCAAGGCTAATTCATGTTAAAACAGACGAAAAGTATGGCACAGCTGACATTGTTACCATATTGTGTAAACATATATGGAGTGGCTAATAATTACAAAATTTTATGTACCCTAGGGCTGGGCCAATAGGTGATAGTACGATTGATATATCGATACTTTAAAATGATAGATTGTCCTAGTGACTAACAATAGTTCGTATTCTCCCCTTAGGCACAAATTATTTTAAAATTGTATATACTTAAAGGAATAATTTTAAGAACAAGGCTTCATACTTCTACCCTTTTATTGATGTCGAGATATAGCAATAATATAACAAAGTAAAAGTGAAATGTTTAATAACAGAAAATGGTTATTGTACAATGGAAACACCACATTAAGATAATAAATGGATAGAAGGATGAAGGCGTATTTAAAACTATTATTATCAATAAATAAAACTGAAACAAAATTGAACAGGAAGAAGCATTCAAGATAAAAAATAATTCAATCTCAAATTAATTTCTTAGAAATATTATTACACCTCCAGTTGTGCTGAAGAAAAAAAAAAATTATATTTCCCACACTTTATTTATTTATTTATTTTAAATAAATAAATTTATAAAATCTACAAGGATGCCATTACAGTATTCTTATATTTTAAACTAGGTGATATTATCAAATTAAATTAATAAAATTAGGATCTCGGAAATTAAAAGACATACAATTCTCGCCTACTTCTTTTACCAAATAGTATGTCCATCTTTGTTCTACTTCTTATACCAAACAATATTACCTGTATGTCATTGATGTTTCTAGTTTGAATTCAACAATCAGGGAAATAAATGTAATTTTTCTATATAAATGTATTTTTCTGTCAATAATTTTTTAAATTATTTATTTAATAATTTTTATTAGTTTCTTAACATAAATCCTTACGAAGGTATCCAATAAAAATATTAATTATTTTAAAGCTTAAACAGCATTTTAAAGTAAATAACTAAATAATACAGTGAAAAAAATCTTCTTTAAGTCTGTGTTGGTAAGTTACTGAACTTTCGATAGTTTTCTATCGATAGTGGAAAACTACTGACTATCGCCCATCCCTAATGTGCCCCTTTAGACACGATACCTCTATAAATAAGCTAATATAATATATAAGCCTTTACTTACAACAGATATGGATGGATTAATAAGAAAATTTACAAAACTATTTCATAATACAAAGTTTATATCAACATTAACAAATATATATATGCATATGCTTTATTATCTTAGTAATTTATTTTATTTTATTTTTTAAAGCTATGTATTAATTTATATAGAAATGAAAGTTAGCCTGTGTCTGATATTATTCTACTTAATACAACAAATAATGATTATGATTGATTCCCTTTTTGCAGGGTATACATTTTTATATAACAACCTAATGTATTTTAGCATTTAAATAAAGAAATAAAATTTACTAATTAATAAAGATTTATTTTGTGAGCAAAATTATGCTATATTAAATTTGATAAATTACTTATAATTTTGTGTATTTGTAAATAACTATTGTAATGATTAATATGTACTTAGTTATTCTGATATCTATAAAGTGCCTAAATATTATTAGCAGTTTTATGTTTATATTGATGTGTAATCAATGTTAGCATAGGTTTGCATTACCTACATTTGTAAATACATAGATTCATCAGAAATTGGAATAACTATTGAAAATTAGTTATGTTAAATGTAAGGTATGAGTCAGTTTGTATTATATTTGAAGACTTTTTCCAATAACTGCATTTATAAAGCAATTATACTGCTTGGAGTAAAATATTTTTGTTGCTAGTTCCAAGCAGGATTATTTGTCATAACTTTTCATAATATTAAGATAATAATTTCAATAAAATGGTAATCTACTGTTAATGATCTTATTTTATAGCTGCTTATAAAGAAATATATTCATTCAGGGTTTGTCAAAAGAATTGAATACAAAAAATATATTTTAAAGCAATGCATACCTATTTTAAATAAAATATTTTAATATCAATTTTTCATGAGAATTTCTATTGTTTTCTAAAGCAATCTGGTGCTTACCTATTAAAGTCCTGAGATTCAAATTATATGTTATCTATTTCTGTACTTAACTTTTGTTTATTATTTACATAGATATATCTATCATATAAATTTGAAAATATATTTTAAACACTCAAGAATCAATGATTTATGACCTTGACATGCATTTATAATACCAGGGTTCATTATCTACTAAGTACTATTTTAATCAAAGAAAATGACTTTTAACCTTCAAATCATAAGATTGGTTCCTTTAGCATTTAAAAGATTAGTCATAAATCTGAGATTTTCTAAGATATTTTATGATAATGTTTTTTTTCATTCCGATATAATTTTATTTTTTGACTGAATAGTTTTAGTTATTTTTTTTCTAAACATTTATTATAAAATAAATGTTTTATAAATTTCATAAAAATACTTTATGGTTAATTTATGCTTTTTTGAGGTCCCAGCTATTAAAAATAGAGTTATCATAATTTTTATTGATTATTTATGAATTTTATTTTATTCATTTTTATTTTTCCATTATTTTTAATGGATGAAAACTGAAAACAAAAAATTATATTTTTCGTTGTTTGACAAATTTATTTGCTTATGAAAAAACATTTTCATATACAATAAGTTAAGGATCAGAGAAAGTCTTGCAGGATAATCTCATATCTGACTTTTTCTTCAACTTTATTGATGTCAACTATAAAGAATCCTTCACTGGCAAATAACTTTAATTGGCAAGACCAAAATCACATTAATCCAAGTTCCTTTTAATCAAGGATTATTTATCCCCTGAGGAAATGAAGAAAGTATAAGTCGATAGTTATGATATATCTGAAGCTATAGGGTCAACAATATTAAAATGAAGTACTCTATTTGGTAAAAATGTCATGGAGTGATGTACTGTCTGTAGGTGATGATTATTTGTTTATTGTTGATGTGGGATGTGTTGTCTTTGGTCCTAATTTATGATTTTTTTTTATTTTTTTTATGATGCCTAAATTGGCAAAACATTTGACTGGTTATTTAGAAGTAGTTTTGATATTTTAGGCATTTTTTTTTTTTTAACTTTTAAATATTTCACAATTACTTTTGTCTCTTTTTATCTTTTTTTTTCATAGAAATACTTATATGCAAAAAAAAGTAGGTTCAGTTAATGAAAGGCAGTTCAGGGGACTTCAATAAAATTTAGCACTTAGATGTGCAGTTAATTTTTGTATTTTAAAACTAAAAAGTTAAAACTGTAACAATATTCATTGAATTAAATTTTAATATTCTACATTTGAACTTGTCATCATAAAAATAAATCTCTCTATTTTCTTTATTAACATAAGTGTTATAAAATAAAAAAAAACATAATTAAAATAAATAAAAGAAAAGTTTCTTTAATATGTTTCCATATTTCTAAAGGTCTGCGATAATTAATCAATTACATAATTACAATGTTCAGTCAAAACAAATACAAAATTTTAGTTTCAATTAAATAGAGTGACTTCTTAAAAGATTTCAGTTAATAAAAATGAAATATAATGCCATGCATTGTAAAATTAATAAATAAGTTTTAAAAAATAAGCTATACAAATGGAATATATTTTAACAAAGATAAGGATGGCTTAAAAGTGGTTGGGTGTAAATATCTCATAGCTATTCATATTTTAAGAAGTAATTTATAAGTGTAATATAATATACAAATCAAACAATGATTATTTGTATTCTATTTATATACATTTCTTTCTATCAATTTTTTCAAATGCATTTCTACGCCTTTTTAATCTGTGATGTGTTTTAATACATCTCTTTGTACTATGGGGACCATTTCCATCTTAGTTTCTGTATTTCCCATTTCTTTTATTACAAAAATTATGATAAAAATTAAAAAATGAAAAATAATAAAAAGATATATATATACATATATTAAAAAAAAATAAAATAAAAAACGAACCTCTATTATATCAAAATGATTGCTTATATTTATACTTAATTCTTTAATAGCTTATGTTTTATACAACAGATTTTTTTATTTTTACTATAATTTATTTTTTTAATTTAAAATGAATAATTCATACTATCAATATTATTTTAAACAAATAATTATTTATCTGAGCCTAGTGCTTAGTTGTAAGGAAAATTGTTTACACAATACCTAGAGTAGCTAATATATTGATATATTATATGTATATGTGGCAATATCTGTCCATGCATGTTTGTTCTATGCAATAGATGTGAATGTATAAGTGTTATCTGACGTCCAAATATATTATTTCAAAAGTCTTTTTAATATTATTTATTTTTAGCTAATGATATGAAACCAAAATATCACACTCCTTAGCTTTATCTATCACAGGTATAAATTATCTCAATCCCTTTCAAATTTTTATTTTCTTATGAAGTGAAAAAGTATTAATGTTTTCATCAGTTTTTCAGCTCTTTAGTTTATTTATAGTATTGTAATTTTATATTTTATAAAATGAAAATAGACTTTGATCATGTACTGGCAAAGTGAAATCCGTAAATTTATATAAAATAAATTATTATTAATTATTTTTCGAAAATATTTTATTGCCTGTTACAGTTATAAAAATATAAAGCTATATATATTTTGAAAAGAAACATTAAAATTCCTTTTCATATTACAGCACTGTTAATGGGATCAATTTAAATATTTTAAACTACAAATTATTCTTTTTTTTCCCCTCTGGCCATTTCTGGCATGCAGGATTGAAAAAAAAAAAAATTATCATACTCCCGAATACCACAATGGAACTAATATTTTTGCCAGAGCATGCTTAATTTTCTTACCACCTATTTCACTCCCTCCCCTTTCCCAATAAAAGTAAATAGTTTTATAATACTATTTTATGAATTATATTTTGAAATAAGTATCATCATTTCATAACATTAATTCATTTTATTGATTCAATTAAGGTAAAAACAATGTAAAAGTAGAAAACAATATTTTTACTTGGTCTAATAATATAATTTTGCTCAAATTTCTTCATCTTCTAAATTCTGCTGTTGAGGCAATTTCTGTTTACATTTTAAATTAGATAAAACCATAGAGTACATAATAACGTAGAACTACCTTCTCATTCTGATGAGTAGGGGTAAACTCTGCTCCTCCCCACTACACTAATCCTCTCTTGTATACCTCAGCTCAATAAGATCAAATAAACTTATTTATTGAAGATTCCTAGCTTCAATAACATATGCTGATAACCCAATTTTATATCAGTAATTGGTAATATCAACAATTAGTTTCTGTACTTACTTACTTACTTAATCCAGTCTTGTGTTACCGCTGAGCAGTGTGAGGTTCCTTCTTATAGAGCGTGATCCATGAATCTCTATCCTGTGCCAGCTGTCTTCTCCTACTCCAGTCCATTCCTCTCCTGTCAAAGGCTTCCTTAACTCCTTCTTCCCATCTATAGCAGCAGTTTGACATCTACGTTGTGAAGTAGTGGGGGAGCTGGCCAGACAGCTCTGAAGAAGCAGCCCTTCTATTTGGCTTTGGGAGCAACGGGCTCATAACTCGCTCTCCCGAGACAAAACAAACAATGAAAAGTACAGAAAGAAATAGTTTCTATATTATAGTAAATTTACATCACGAGGTACTAATAATCAATTTTTAATTTTAATGAAAATTGAATTTTAATCAAATTCAATTTTACAGAAACTTCTTTTTTCAGGACTTCTGTTTCAAATATCTGATCACAGGTGTTTAAAACAAATTATTAAAAGTTATATAAAATTTTTTAAAAATACAGACTTTGGTGAAGCAATGGCGGATCCAAGAATTTTCTCAGAGGGGGCGCAGCTCTGTACCAGGTGCTCCTCCCACCCCTACCCGTTCGTTCCCCCACCACTACCCATCTTCCGCCACTCCTTAGCTGAGTTTAGCTGCTCAAAAGTCCTCTTTAAATGGTTTTAACAAAAGCAAACTCTATTTTTATACCCAGGAAACGCCTAAATGACCTAAGAATTGGATTTTGGAACATTTTATCATTACATAGACTAGGAGCACTTTGTGCGCTCCTTGCAGAAGTGGACACATACAGAATCGACATAGCAGCTATCCAAGAGGTCCGATGGATAGGACAGGGAATTATGGAGAAGAAGTACCATACACTCTACTATAGCTGCCATGAAAAGCATCACGTCTTCGGTACCGGATTTGTTGTGAGAGGCAGAGTTCGACAGCTAGTGATGCGATTTACTCCCATTAACCAAAGGTTATGCTACATTCGGCTTAGAGGAAAATTTTTTAATTTCTCTCTAATTAACTGCCATGCCCCAACAGAGGTGTCACCTGAGGAGGATAAGGAAACATTTAATGAAGAACTTGGACGCGTGACAGAAAGCTGCCCCAAAATTATTTTAAAATCATTCTTGGTGACTTTAATTCCCAAGTTGGTAAGGAGGTGGCACTCATGCCGACCATAGGAACCCACAGCTTGCATAAGACCAGTAATGATAATGGGCTACGGATGGTGAACTTTGCTACATTGCACGGACTGGTTGTTGGAACAACTCTTTTTCCTCGAAAGAATATCCACAAAGCAACATGGATCTCTCCAAATGGGCAAACAACATCACAGATAGACCATGTACTCATTAGTGCCCGTCACAAGTCCAACATGATAAATGCAAGATCTTATAGAGGTGCAAATATGGACACGGATCACTATTTGAGCATTGCCGAGGTCAGATCACGAATTTCGCTGATTAAAAACCACCACCAACGACCAAAGAAGAAGATTGATGTAGCTAAACTTAAGGACTCAAACCACCAATATTCGTATCAACAAGCTGTGGAGACGAAACTTAATGAAGATGTAATTAATGACAGCTCTATGGTCGATGAACAGTGGAAGAGATGCAGCAACGCAATGAAACAGGCAGCAGAAGAATCTCTTGGCTACGAGACTAAATCTAGAAGGCCTCCATGGTTTGATGCTGAGTGCCTTCAAGCAGTAAAAGTGAAAAATGAAGCCTACAGAAAGAAGGTTCAGCGTCCCACAAGGCTCTCCCAAGAAACATATCGAAGAAAAAGACGCGAAGAGAAGAGATTATTCCGCGGAAAGAGAAGAGCTTGGGAAAACAAGAACATGGAGGATATAGAGGCATTGCGCGTTCAAAATGAAAGTCGGCTGTTCTTTCAGAGAATAAACGAGGTTAGGGTAGCTTTCAGGCCCAGAATGACGGCATGCAAAGACACGAATGGATCTCTTTTAAGCCACAAAGATGACGTACTAAGGAGATGGGTACAACATTTCAAAGACGCATTAAACAGAGGAACGGTGCCTGGAGAAGTAGGAGTAATGAAGGAAGACTCCCTGAATTCTATTGAACCCTCGGATGAGGAGGAAATGGAAAATGCCCTGAGGAAATTGAAAAATGGAAAGGCGCCAGGCCCGGACGGAATCCAGTCAGAGCTGTTGAAATGTGGAGGTGAAGAACTTAAGAAAGCTCTGCATGATTTAATACTGACCATCTGGGAGAGGGAAGCTATGCCTACGGAATGGGCAACAGCCATTATC